AGCTGTACCAAACCTTGGAAGCTGTAATCCGGAAAGATCTTTTCCCATACGTGGAGGTGTTCACCTTTGGAACCTATATGTTTTGACTTCTATTACAATTTCTTTACATTTATTCTTTTTGATACATTAAATCATTATGTCTTTGAGCCGGGTGTATGTTGGTCTGCCCCGCGGTATCCGTGTTTCCAATTTTGGGCGTAATCTTGTTTATATACCGTATTCATAAATTATTGGGACATACAAACCTATTAGTTCCCTTTCAGAACGAATGTATAGCATGTTCCGAGCGACCATACGCAACGTGTTTATCGCCTACAGCTACCGTATAACAGCGTATTGGCGTACATAAAATGGTGTTCACATGAGGAACCCGTCTTAGTTTATGTTATTCGAGTGATTGAGGATCTGACGAGGATACGTTCAATGTGTCCTACATCGTACCATACATGCTACCCCAGGTATTACGATCACTTTCGCTTTCTGCACCCTGGAACATGGCACGACAAAATCGAAGGCACAAACGAAGTTGTTCGATTGGTTCCAGAAGAAAAACTGACCAATCACAGGCTGATAGAGCCTTATGAATATTACGAAGGAGCTACATCCAACTTTAAAGTCATTATAATGTACCGTTATGCGACCTAGAGATTCGTTTTATGTATATCAAAGAATCAATCTAGTCTTCATCTTGTCCACAAGGTGTCACCCATAGAACTGTCATTTTTGGCATGAAATATTCCAGAATGGAGAGAGCGAAGGCGGGGGAGAGCCAGAGAGAGGGGGGGGTGGAGAGAGAGGGGGGAGGGAGCGAGAGAGAGAGAGGGAGGGACCAGGATGAGGCTTTGGATCAGGAGGCGATGGCAGTTTAGCAGGTATCACAAGGACCATGCACATCCTTCATCAATTTCCAGATCATTGTTGAAACGGTCGTTCATATATTGCGAACGCCAGCAGCAACACTAAGCGTTCGTTACTCAAAGGTTAGAAATAAGTTTTGAGAACGGTTAACATTTCGATGTAAAATCTGTAATTCGACTTAAGCTTGTTACGTTAAACGATTGCATAACTGATCTACAACATACGCCTTATGGAACGTAGGACTGCAAGCTGGCGTACGTCGTTTGTACCGAATGTTTTCAACAACTGCGCAGACGCCGCCCTATGACTTAAGCTAGACTGAAAGTTCCGATCTCTAAAATGTTAATTTAACGCGAATATTCAAATTTATTTATCAAGCCTTTGTTGAAATCGACATTTTTACTGCTAATGCTTGAATGAACACAATCAGTAAAAAGAGGACCGTTGGGCTTGTATCACTCAAATGGCTTTGCTTAGCTGAAATTGCTTCATTAAAACTAATGAAAAGGAATTCAAAATATCCTAGCATACATCACAAAACATCTATTTTCCTCCTGGACTCCTAAGCTCTGTCCTTAGAGTGGCAGCCAAACCATTCATACTTCGGACCAAATTATTCCTAAGGGAGAAGTAGGATTTAAAATAATTTGCTCAGATTCCCCTTTTTTGAGTCCTGCCTCTCAGGCCCCTTGAGGTCGAGACATACCATTTATACAAAATGTGTTCCGATACTCGCAAGGATGCTTCTGACAAAGTTTGGTCAAAATCCGCCGAGTCGTTCTTGATCAGTAGCGATTTGTAGAAAAAGTTGATGCACGGACGGACGCTCGGAAGGAAGACAGATTACAATACATGATACTGCATACAGATATACGGATGTAGTAGACCCGTAAATAATTTTGTGACACTTCATCTGGAACTGTTGTGATCCTAAATCACGGCTGGGTGTACCGTTCCGACCAACAATGGCTGGAACTATTGTGATCCTAAATCACGGCTGGGTGTACCGTTACCGACCAACAATGGCTGGAACTATTGTGGTCCTAAATCACGGCTGGATGTACCGTTACCGACCAACAATGGCTGGAACTATTGTGGTCCTAAATCACGGCTGGGTGTACCGTTACCGACCAACAATGGCTGGAACTATTGTGATCGTAAATCATGACTAGGTTTCCGTCATCGACCAACAACTGCCGGAACTATTGTGGTCCTAAATCACGGCTGGATGTACCGTTACCGACCAACAATGGCTGGAATTATTTCGATCCTAAATCATGGCTAGGTGTATCGTTACCGACCAACAATGGCTGGAACTTTTGTGGTCCTAAATCACGGCTGGGTGTACCGTTACCGACTAACAATGGCTGGAACTATTGTGTTCTGTAACCGACCAACAATGACAAAATCTGTAGTTGTGGTAATGTATTTAACTATTTTCAGTTGGCATGCACGGAAAATCTGAATGTTACCTCGATAAAGACAGTTTCAATGTGCACATTGCCTTTGTTCAGTACACATTTAGAATGTCGACAAATGTCCACAAATGCCCACAAATGTCCACAAATGCCCACTACAGCAGTTTATTTTCTGTACCTATTGCATTCTCTTTCGACTTTCTTATAAGACATTTTAGCTTTACATTCATGAGTTTGTAGTACACAGCTGGCTTTGTTATTCTAATGATCAGAACAACGATGTAGTAGTTATACGCTGGTATTCTCGTCCGCTGCTATTTTGAAGTAAACGAAATACTATTTTAACACGAATCACATCAAAATCAAAACAACCCCAGCAAGGTTATATTTGTAAGACTGTTCTTTAGTTGTTCAATACTTTCCTCCGTTACCAATGCACTGAGCGTGATAGACAACTGCCATAATCTATGGTTTGGCAAATGATTCTCAAAATATTAGCCAAGCCATCCTGGGATAAACACGTGCGGTTTAACACCTACATTCAGTAAGTGTTCCTTCAAGTTCAACTTTGACACACAACGAATTTGAATGACTCTCGCGTGACCGTGTCACACCTGACTTAAGTAAAGCGATTGAAGGCCATCCGTTAAAAAATAGATCGCTTCAAAATTATCTTCTGAGCCAGATTTGGTAAGAATATTGATTTTCTGTTGTAATAGATCTAAAATAAATTACGTGTAAATTTTAGTTTATGCATTGAAATGATTATATCAAAATGTGTGGACAGGGCGACGAAGAGAAGCTATGGGCCATGAGGCGGCCGGGCGTCAAAGAAAACCCTTGGACCATGAAGCGGCCTGGGCGTCAAAGAAAACTCTTGGACCATGAAGCGGCCTGGGCGTCGAAGAGAACTCTAGGACTATGAGGCGGCCTGGGCGTCAAATTAAACTCTTGGACCATGAAGCGGCCTGGGCGTCAAAGAAAACTCTTGGACCATGAAGCGGCCTGGGCGTCGAAGAGAACTCTAGGACTATGAGGCGGCCTAGGCGTCGAAGAGAACTCTTGGACCATGAGGCGGTCTGGACGTCGAAGATAACCCTTGGACCATGAGGCGGCCCGGACGTCGAAGGAACTCTTGGACCATGAGGCGGCCTGGGCGTCAAAGAGAACTCTTTACCATGAGGCGGACAAGGCGTCGAAGAAAACTATTGAACCATGAAGCGGCCTGGGCGTCGAAGAGAACTCTTGGACCATGAAGCGACCTGGGCGACAAAGAGAACTATTGGACCATGAGGCGGCCTGGACGTCAAACAGAACTCTTGACCATGAGGCGGACAAGGCGTCGAAGAAAACTCTTGGACCATGAGGCGGCCTGGGCGTTGAGGCGAACCCTTGGACCATGAGGCGGCCTGGGCGTCGAAGAGAACGGTTGGACCATGAAGCGGACCAGGCGTCGAAGAGAACTCTTGGACCATGAGGCGGCCTGGACGTCGAAGATAACCCTTGGACCATGAGGCGGCCCGGACGTCGAAGAGAACTCTTGGACCATGAGGCGGCCTGGGCGTCAAAGAGAACTCTTGACCATGAGGCGGACAATGCGTCGAAGAAAACTCTTGAACCATGAAGCGGCCTGGGCGTCAAAGAGAACTATTGGACCATGAGGCGGCCTGGACGTCAAAGAGAACTCTTGACCATGAGGCGGACAAGGCGTCGAAGAAAACCCTTGGACCATGAGGCGGCCTGGGCGTCGAAGAGAACGGTTGGACCATGAGGCGGCCTGGACGTCAAAGAGAACTCTTGACCATGAGGCGGACAAGGCGTCGAAGAAAACCCTTGGACCATGAGGCGGCCTGGGCGTCGAAGAGAACGGTTGGACCATGAAGCGGACCAGGCGTCGAAGAGAACTCTTGGACCATGAGGCGGCCCGGACGTCGAAGAGAACTCTTGGACCATGAGGCGGCCTGGGCGTCAAAGAGAACTCTTGACCATGAGGATGACAAGGCGTCGAAGAAAACTCTTGAACCATGAGGCGGCCTGGGCGTCGAAGAGAACGGTTGGACCATGAAGCGGACCAGGCGTCGAAGAGAACTCTTGGACCATGAGGCGGCCCGGACGTCGAAGAGAACTCTTGGACCATGAGGCGGCCTGGGCGTCAAAGAGAACTCTTGACCATGAGGCGGACAAGGCGTCGAAGAAAACTCTTGAACCATGAAGCGGCCTGGGCGTCGAAGAGAACTCTTGGACCATGAAGCGACCTGGGCGTCAAAGAGAACTATTGGACCATGAGGCGGCCTGGACGTCAAACAGAACTCTTGACCATGAGGCAGCCTGGGCGTCAAAGAGAACTCTTGACCATGAGGCGGACAAGGCGTCGAAGAAAACTCTTGGACCATGAGGCGGCCTGGGCGTCGAGGCGAACCCTTGGACCATGAGGCGGCCTGGGCGTCGAAGAGAACGGTTGGACCATGAAGCGGACCAGGCGTCGGAGAGAACCCTAGGACCATGAGGCGGCCCGGACGTCGAAGAGAACCCTTGGGCCATGAGGCGGCCTGGGCGTCGAGGCGAACCCTTGGACCATGAGGCGGACCAGGCGTCGAAGAGAACTCTTGGACCATGAGGCGGCCCGGACGTCGAAGAGAACTCTTGGACCATGAGGCGTCCTGGACGTCGAAGAGAATTCTTGGACCATGAGGCGGCCTGGGCGTCGAGGCGAACCCTTGGACCATGAGGCGGCCCGGACGTCGAAGAGAACTCTTGGACCATGAGGCGGACCAGGCGTCGAAGAGAACCCCCGGACAGGGTAGCTGCTAGTCACAAACATTAATTGCCAATTTACCTGGCCACGCGCGTTGTAGAGTACAAAGGTAATACTTGTCCGCACTGTTTCCATGTCTGCGTGTTGGCTATAAATAGGCGTAGATATTACCAGGGTGGTGGCATATTATCCCAGGAACTGACATCTTGGGACAAAATTGTTTTGTCGTGAATTAGAAAATTGCCAATCGTTAATGTTTCGGCCACGTTGCACTATGTTGGAGAGAGGTCGTGTAAATTTTTCATGAATCATTAGAAAAAACGGAGACCTATTTAACTTAACAGCGGCCAGGCGCTGCGGGATGGCGGCATATTGGAAATTTGTGTGAAATATAAAATACGTAATTCACGTGATTTGAACTCGCACACATCACTCACGTGGAGTAATAACAGGATGGCAATTACGTCAGTCACCAGGGAGCCGACATGTATCGGACAAACGAGCGTAGGTAAGGGGAGAAAAAGCGTGACCATTCCTATTCCTTAAAAAAATCTCCATAAAACTCTTGTGTGATCAAAAATATCTCCATTAATAAAAACAAAACACCAAACTCTCCTCAAACAACTAAATATCGATGACTTGATAATTCTATTCAATCTGTATGTAGCTCAACAACTAATCCAGCTAGTGACTTGTAACCCTCCCATGCGCTGGCGAGAGACTACACCCCCTAATTTATTTATTTTCCAAGGACATATTTATGCGAGCTCAGTAAGAGGTCCGATTTTGAAATTTGAAATTTCGGGTCAATATTGTCTAACATTCTATTCGTATACGTGTTTATTTATAACATTTATCTGACACAAGATTCAGGCCATATATATATATATATCTGTCAGTAAACTCACCTTCCGTTCTCTCTAGTACCACTGGTGACACAGTGACGACTAACACCCGGTCAGTAAACTCACACTCCCTTCTCTCTAGTACCACTGGTGACACAGTGGTCACTCACACTCCGTTCTCTCTAGTAACACTGGTGACACAGTAACACCCCGGTCAGTAAACTCACACTCCACCCGGTCAGTAAACTCACACTTCTCTCTAGTAACACTGGTGACACAGTCATGACTAACACCCGGTCAGTAAACTCACACTCCGTTCTCTCTAGTAACACTGGTGACACAGTCATGACTAACACCCGGTCAGTAAACTCACACTCCCTTCTCTCTAGTAACACTGGTGACACAGTCATGACTAACACCCGGTCAGTAAACTCACACTCCGTTCTCTCTAGTAACACTGGTGACACAGTCATGACTAACACCCGGTCAGTAAACTCACACTCCGTTCTCTCTAGTAACACTGCTGACACAGTCATGACTAACACCCGGTCAGTAAACTCACACTCCGTTCTCTCTAGTAACACTGGTGACACAGTCATGACTAACACCCGGTCAGTAAACTCACACTCCGTTCTCTCTAGTAACACTGGTGACAGCCATGACTAACACCCGGTCATTAAACTCACACTCCGTTCTCTCTAGTAACACTGGTGTCACAGTCATGACTAACACCCGGTCAGTAAACTCACACTCCGTTCACTTTAGTAACACTGGTGACACAGTGATGACTAACACCCGGTCAGTAAACTCACACTCCGTTCTCTCTAGTAACACTGCTGACACAGTCATGACTAACACCCGGTCAGTAAACTCACACTCCGTTCTCTCTAGTAACACTGGTGACACAGTCATGACTAACACCCGGTCACACTCCGTTCTCTCTAGTAACACTGTAAACTCACACTCCGTTCTCTCTAGTAACACTGGTGACACAGTCATGACTAACACCCGGTCAGTAAACTCACACTCCGTAAACACTGGTGACACACTAACACCCGGTTCTCACTCCGTTCTCTCTAGTAACACTGGTGACAACACCCGGTCAGTCATGACTAACACCCGGTCAGTAAACTCACACTCCGTTCTCTCTAGTAACACTGGTGACACAGTCATGACTAACACCCGGTCAGTAAACTCACACTCCGTTCTCTCTAGTAACACTGGTGACACAGTCATGACTAACACCCGGTCAGTAAACTCACACTCCGTTCTCTCTAGTAACACTGGTGACAGTCATGACTAACACCCGGTCAGTAAACTCACACTCCGTTCTCTCTAGTAACACTGGTGACACAGTCATGACTAACACCCGGTCAGTAAACTCACACTCCGTTCTCTCTAGTAACACTGGTGACACAGTCATGACTAACACCCGGTCAGTAAACTCACACTCCGTTCTCTCTAGTAACACTGGTGACAGTCATGACTAACACCCGGTCAGTAAACTCACACTCCGTTCTTTCTAGTAACACTGGTAACAGTCATGACTAACACCCGGTCATTAAACTCACACTCCGTTCTCTCTAGTAACACTGGTGACACAGTCATGACTAACACCCGGTCAGTAAACTCACACTCCGTTCTCTCTAGTAACACTGGTGACACAGTCATGACTAACACCCGGTCAGTAAACTCACACTCCGTTCTCTCTAGTAACACTGGTGACACAGTCATGACTAACACCCGGTCATTAAACTCACACTCCGTTCTCTCTAGTAACACTGGTGACACAGTCATGACTAACACCCGGTCAGTAAACTCACCTTCCGTTCTCTATAGTAACACTGGTGACTGTCATGACTAACGCCCGGTCAGTAAAATAATTCTCCGTTCTCTTTAGTAACACTGGTGACACAGTCATGACTAACACCCGGTCAGTAAACTCACACTCCGTTCTCTCTAGTAACACTGGTGACAGCCATGACTAACACCCGGTCATTAAACTCACACTCCGTTCTCTCTAGTAACACTGGTGACACAGTCATGACTAACACCCGGTCAGTAAACTCACACTCCGTTCTCTCTAGTAACACTGGTGACAGTCATGACTAACACCCGGTCAGTAAACTCACACTCCGTTCTCTCTAGTAACACTGGTGACACAGTCATGACTAACACCCGGTCAGTAAACTCACACTCCGTTCTCTCTAGTAACACTGGTGACAGTCATGACTAACACCCGTTCAAAGCTAGCACATGATATGGCAATTGAGCTCCCGCGTGCTGAAGCGATAGAATAACATGTGCTTTAGCGAGAGATTTTGCACGTGCTTTGACGACAGAGCTCATACGTGCTATGGTAATGTAGCTCTCATGAGCTAAGGTGATAGAGTTAACACTTGCTACGTTGGAAAAGTCCTACGTGCTAAAACAGTACAGCTCCCACGTACTGAAGTAAGGACAATAAGATGTAGCTAGTCAAGAAATCCTGTAAAAACTGGCGGTTCACTCGTGAAACGGAAGATTTAAAAAAACGAGTTAGTCATGTGGAACACACATACAACTCCTTATTTATACTTCTTAGTCGTTGTACACGTTGTGTACACATACTGTAGTCCACAACGTAACTGAAGTTGCCTATCCGTCTATACGTTGATTCAGCTGGAATCTATCTACAAAACAGTATACTACAGACATCATATACATAATTTTGTAATATTTCAGCTTTCTTTTCGTTTTGCAGAACATAAAGGGTCTGTCATCTGTTAAGGTACTTAATGTCAAGGAATGCTATTCACGGGCACTCTCCCACGTGACACTGATGTTGTACAAGACCCCTTGATTAAGAGAACATCCGGGTGATTAGAGTATAGGATGTGCTGACTTTGTTATCATAACTAACACTGGGACCTTTATGGTATCTTAATTGTAGTGTAAAATTGCACGCCCATTTTTACTATAATTATCACGTGTCTAAATGTTCTGCCGCCAGGGGGCATCTTTTTTACCAGCAGGTTGTCTGGTAGCACGTGCTACCCTGTATATGTTTCACACGCCACGGGATCGTTACTCTCCTGGCTAATTAAATACCCTGCAGGCTCATTAATTCCCTCGCTGGCCTGCGTTTGATGGCGGGATTACCTCCCCTGAGCGGTGTGTGTACAGAACTCTTCTATGTGGAGGTGATGTATCCGCTACATGAACGCTTGCTGTGATTGACGACAATTTGACGAGATTACATTTGATCAATGACGCTACTGATCGAAGGTACACACACGTATGCGTAAGTGGTGTAGATATCAGCGGAACTACCAACATAGTTAATAAAGGCCGAGTATTGGAATATAAAATTTAATTAAACTTACCTGTATTTACTATAGTGGCAGAATCAATACCGCCTGGTAACAGTGGTTCTAAACATGTTCTACATCACGGCACATCCGGGTAGTTAACTCGCATGTAAACACGTGCATTCAATGACCGGTAGTGACGTAATATTTAATTGCGTCAAGTCAATGTTCCGACATTCCTTTTTTTCTATTTTTGAGAAACGGAACAGAAAGTAAACAAAGAAACGTGACCAAGAAATAAGATCGATTGATTTTGTATACGAAGTGATTTGAACCCTTAAACACTATTTGGTACGGAAAAGTCATTATGGAGTTTGGTCTCTATTTATGAGGCTGAAGGGGAACAGAATTGATTTTGATTGGCTGATTGATACTTCACGTTATCCATAGAAAAGTTTAGCACAAAAGAAAATCAAGATACGTGTATTAAACTTAATTTCATAAGACTCGGTCATTTTATTACTAAATAACTTGAAAACTAATACCAGAGGCAAATCCGGATTTATCAATTTCATCGGAAATGTTAAATCTATTTACTTAACAGGGCAAACCAACTTCTCTATTTATATCGAAGTGTTATTTATCGTTGATTTGGCACTATATACATCATTGTCATTCTCGGATAAAAATAAAAGTCTAGATGTTTGAGAAACATACGGAGTCTATCTAATTTGTACTGTTACATTCTAAATGAACCCCCTTCGGTCCTGATGCACTCTATCAAACACTTACAGACTGTCATGTTGTCGTTGTTTCTGTTGCAAAAAAAAAAAAAAAAAATTCCTGGCACGTTGTTCATGAACCGGTGTTACACTGTACATTGTAAAGAAAGGTCTAGAATTGAGGAGAG